GATTAAGAAAGGGTGAGACCGTCACACCAGCTGAAATCACATCTGGTCCCTTCAGAGAGAAATTCTATAGAGCTTGTAATAATATAGGTACGATCTATTTCTCATTACTTTAAGGTATTTGACTTTGAGTGTACTTCTTAGATTATTTATTTAGCACTAAACAATTGTCATCGACACTCAATCATACATATTTGTTCTTCAGGAGTGAAACCAAAGGCTCATTTCGGTACAACTTTAAACGGCAACGATGCCCATAACTTTGTGAAGAGACGCGATGAGTTACTAGAGAAATTTCGGAACGTTGTTCTTTGCCAGGCGTTTCTAAAGAAGGATGTTGTAGATAATATCAGGAAGAAGCTTTCTGTGATCAACAGAATATCTGCAGCATACAAACCTATCTGAACATATGTCGGAAATACTTCAAGGTGCGTAAATGATTTAAATCTCAATAAAAGTAGGGATTTCGTGAATAGTAATATAGATTAGATGTCCATCTATTATGCTATTTGCAACAAAATGTCGATTATTTGATGAAAACAAACAAAGTAAGCAATTTTCTTTAGGGTGAATGAAGAGGACTTAGGGATGATCGAAAGGGGGATTAGAAAATTCCTGATAGAATGGAGATTGGCTGGGTACTCCATCACCCCAAAAATTCACTTTTTGGAAGACCACGCAGTTGACCAAATGAGGTTGTTCGGGTTCGCACTGGGCAAATTCAACGAGCAGGGAGGGGAATCCCTCCATGCTATGATGAACCGTCTCCGACCTCGATATGGTAAGAATGATTGGAGTTTTTCACTTTATTAAACCATCGGAGAAGATACATGATATTAAAATAATGAAGTCTGTATGTCAACTGTTACGGTGCTTCCTTCAGACACTTTTACTAATAATATGTTTTCAGCTAGTCTTGATTCGTTAACAGCTTACAAACTTGCTGTGAAAGAAGCAGCAACACAATGCATCCTGGAAATGAAGAAGTCAGAATAGCTGTGTGGTTTGTACAACTGACAAGTACACTGAGTGGTTCGTACAACTGACAACTAACAAGTACGCTGTGTGGTTCGTACAACTGACAACTAACAAGTACGCTGTGTGGTTCGTACAACTGACAAGTACGCTGTGTGGTTCGTACAACTGACAAGTACGCTGTGTGATTCGTACAACAACTTCAGTTATTTGTCTTCTTTTAACATAAGTATTTTTGATCCATTTTAATTTCTACAATAATGAATAATGAATTTTAAACTTTACATTACTTTATAATTTTATTCACATTATATCCCAGGTTAAACAAACACCCAATGTCCCAAGTGTTGGGCCATTTGATAGATTTTGTAATTACTCCTTCAACAAACAACAAAAATATACTTTTTAATTTTATCCACCACAATCAATTTTTCCTAAAACAATGTCTAACCCAGAAAACCTTACCGCCTGCTGGGCTTGCTAGAGGTTATAGATTTTCAACAGCACGTTGGGCGTCGCGCGTCACATCGAGTTTACCTTTCACACGCTGCATTTAGTTTAGTAGTCATGACAACGACATGACTTTGCAAAGTTTAAAAGCTGCAATCTTTAATTTAGCCAAAAATCAAACTTTTTGGTTTAATTCAGAATCTAAATTGTCCCCAATTGTCCTCCTGGGGAGGCTCCTTTAAATTTACGAGACGGACATTTTGTTGAAAACCGGAAGGTTCTATCTATTTTACTTTTGGAGATATACCCCAGCCGGTAGGGTTTCCTGGGCCGAACCTACGCGCGTATAAAAGAATTTGCGCTCTCATTTTAAAACGTTCACTTTGACAAACCATAACTCTCCACCAATCAAGTCAAATTTCAATTTTAAAATATCAAAAGAAAGTAGAGAATTTCGCCAACAAGAAAGGGGACTCCTGGATAGGTAGGTAAAAACGCGATCTTCGTCCTCAAAATCGACTTTTAAAACTTCATACATTTTCCGCCGAAATTATAAGTCTTATATCGCAAAACATCCCCCTACCTCCCTGCAACTCCCCCCCCCCCCCCCTTTCCACTTCCCCCCCCCCCTTCCTTCTGCTTTCTTTTGCAGCTGAACTATGAACTCTTAGCTCTCTCGCCGGCCGAACCTACGCGCGTATAAAAGAATTTGCGCTCTCATTTTAAAACGTTCACTTTGACAAACCATAACTCTCCACCAATCAAGTCAAATTTCAATTTTAAAATATCAAAAGAAAGTAGAGAATTTCGCCAACAAGAAAGGGGACTCCTGGATAGGTAGGTAAAAACGCGATCTTCGTCCTCAAAATCGACTTTTAAAACTTCATACATTTTCCGCCGAAATTATAAGTCTTATATCGCAAAACATCCCCCTACCTCCCTGCAACTCCCCCCCCCCCCCCCCTTTCCCCTTCCCCCCCCCCCCCCCCTTCCTTCTGCTTTCTTTTGCAGCTGAACTATGAACTCTTAGCTCTCTCGCCTACCCAGAAAACCTTACCGCCTGCTGGGCTTGCTAGAGGTTATAGATTTTCAACAGCACGTTGGGCGTCGCGCGTCACATCGAGTTTACCTTTCACACGCTGCATTTAGTTTAGTAGTCATGACAACGACATGACTTTGCAAAGTTTAAAAGCTGCAATCTTTAATTTAGCCAAAAATCAAACTTTTTGGTTTAATTCAGAATCTAAATTGTCCCCAATTGTCCTCCTGGGGAGGCTCCTTTAAATTTACGAGACGGACATTTTGTTGAAAACCGGAAGGTTCTATCTATTTTACTTTTGGAGATATACCCCAGCCGGTAGGGTTTCCTGGGCCGAACCTACGCGCGTATAAAAGAATTTGCGCTCTCATTTTAAAACGTTCACTTTGACAAACCATAACTCTCCACCAATCAAGTCAAATTTCAATTTTAAAATATCAAAAGAAAGTAGAGAATTTCGCCAACAAGAAAGGGGACTCCTGGATAGGTAGGTAAAAACGCGATCTTCGTCCTCAAAATCGACTTTTAAAACTTCATACATTTTCCGCCGAAATTATAAGTCTTATATCGCAAAACATCCCCCTACCTCCCTGCAACTCCCCCCCCCCCCCCCTTTCCACTTCCCCCCCCCCCCTTCCTTCTGCTTTCTTTTGCAGCTGAACTATGAACTCTTAGCTCTCTCGCCGGCCGAACCTACGCGCGTATAAAAGAATTTGCGCTCTCATTTTAAAACGTTCACTTTGACAAACCATAACTCTCCACCAATCAAGTCAAATTTCAATTTTAAAATATCAAAAGAAAGTAGAGAATTTCGCCAACAAGAAAGGGGACTCCTGGATAGGTAGGTAAAAACGCGATCTTCGTCCTCAAAATCGACTTTTAAAACTTCATACATTTTCCGCCGAAATTATAAGTCTTATATCGCAAAACATCCCCCTACCTCCCTGCAACTCCCCCCCCCCCCCCCCCCCTTTCCACTTCCCCCCCCCCCTTCCTTCTGCTTTCTTTTGCAGCTGAACTATGAACTCTTAGCTCTCTCGCCTACCCAGAAAACCTTACCGCCTGCTGGGCTTGCTAGAGGTTATAGATTTTCAACAGCACGTTGGGCGTCGCGCGTCACATCGAGTTTACCTTTCACACGCTGCATTTAGTTTAGTAGTCATGACAACGACATGACTTTGCAAAGTTTAAAAGCTGCAATCTTTAATTTAGCCAAAAATCAAACTTTTTGGTTTAATTCAGAATCTAAATTGTCCCCAATTGTCCTCCTGGGGAGGCTCCTTTAAATTTACGAGACGGACATTTTGTTGAAAACCGGAAGGTTCTATCTATTTTACTTTTGGAGATATACCCCAGCCGGTAGGGTTTCCTGGGAACAAATGGATCGGTGAGGGACCTGTAATCCTTAAATAACATTACCAATCGCTCATGATTTTTATTGCAGAATTATCGGACCTTGAAGACATATGACAGATACGGTTTAAAGAATGAAAACTTCAAGAAGTGTAATGTTTGTCTGCCGCGATAAACCTCTAATATTAAAAAGAAGTATTGTTTAGTTTGGAGTACGACAGAAACGCGCACGTACGAATGATATATGAGAACACTAGAAAATAATATCACCTCTCGGATTTGCGCCCGGATACGATAGGTTTTACATTTCCTATCGGGTCCGAGAGCAAATCCTATCGACTCTCGTATCGGAACTTACAAATCCTATCGCCGCTAGGATTAGCGCTCGGATCCGATAGGTTTTTAATTTCCTATCGGCTCCGAGAGCAAATCCTATCGCCTCTCGGAAATTGCACATCCTATCGCCGCTCGGCGATAGGAAATCATCGGAGGTATCCTGGGGGGACTGGATCGGCGTTTATAGGATTGACAAAATCCGAGATGTGTCGGACGCGCCATATATATATCCTATAGGGGAATCCTTGTAGCGCGATGCATTACTGGGTCGCGCCGCGCATCAAATAATTCTTCTCGGTAGATCGGCGAGATGCACCACTGTGCCTCACCGAGCTGCGAAGGATTGACATCGTGAATCAAGGGGAATCCTATCTAATTAGAATCGCAGAAATCGACGTTCTGAACAGCCGTGTAAACCCGCATGTGAATTTCGCGCGAAGAGTATCACAAATTCTGCATATGGCGACGCTCCTTCCATTCTCCAGAAGACGTTTCCCTGAATTTTGTAGTGGATTTTGTAGTGGATTTTGCGCGCCGAACGTACGTTACAATATTTATAATTGTAGAATCTACGACACTAGTAGTCAGAAGTCTCAATAAACTGCTCGTATTTATACTTTTATAGACACTGAGATATGAAAAGATGTCGAAACTCAGTTTTTATGATCATTTGGGTCACGTACTACCTATTTAACCACCAAAACATGTTCCACCTACCCCGGAACACAAATCCACTACACCTGTGAAATCCACTACAAATCCACTACACAAATCAAGGAAACGTGCTCTCTAGAAAATAATGTAGAAAATTTTACTCGGAAATTTAGGCATTGTTTTTTAACGAGTCATAACGCACGAAAGCACTTTTCTGTCAGAAGAAAGTAATAGTTTAAATATACGATTAACATAGAATCTTTAAAAACATACATAGCTTAGAGCAGCTTAAAATATACACACACTAAATTAAACATTGAAACACGAAATAAAGGGAGCTTTAATCAACTGCCACTAATTCACAATATCTGGCATTGAATAGAGACCAAACTATAAGATGTTCACTTGTAGTTTAACTAGAGATCTAAATAAATACAAACAGGTTGTGCACATAACAGTTATGACTGAAACTGACTATTAAAATTATAATTGAACAACAAGTTAACTACTTAACTGAATTACTGATAACTTTAATCTTGAATAACTGAAAATCTGGAAATTTTTATCAAACGACAAACAATCATTCAAAACCCTCAAAATTTTAAAATTTTCCGGTGAAATTGATTTAAACATAACGATTCTTCAAGCAATATTAAAAGAATTCTTCTTACACGATATACAATATATTATATACACATACAATATATAATAATAATTTTATACTCCTAGTTCAATAAACAATATTACAATAACAGTTCTGTAGTCCTATAACTCTATAAAAAATTATTTATTCATTAGAAAATACCATGCTTAAATTATTTAATATTAATCATTCGATATTAATCCCTAAGTCCTAACTTAGTGACGAGTTTCTGAGCGTTACTCATCATGATCATACTAACGCCATTAGCAAGGAAACTCCTAATTGTCCCGGGTCCAATACCTCTGTAGAGACCTGTCACTCCCTTCTCTCTGAAAGTCATTGCTAGTCGGGTCTTCAACGGCTGATCTCTGAAATTAGTGGAAATTAGCTGGTTATATCGTTATATCCATTATTTGATTGTATATATTATATCCGTATAATCTAATTTATTTAATTGTATTACTCATAGCACGACATTTTCGTGGCTCAGACTGAAATGTTCAACAAATAGTTAATAGATATCCTGGAGGTGGTACGAGAAATTTCTTGTTTTCTTAAATTTCCTGTTTTCTTGAATTTCTTGTTTTCTTGAATTTCTTGTTTTTTCGAGTGTTGATTATTAGACTTAACTAAATTGAGCCACCGTTAATTATACGCCACCTCACACTGAACATTCAACAATCTTGTTCCTAGAAAACAGACGGATCTCACACGACTAACTAAGTTAGGACTAAAATAAACCGGTTTCAAAGCCCTTAAGGGTGGCCCTCGGGTCTTTAAAACGAGTACGTGATTTTCAATAATATTATATATCCACTTTAACACAAACATTTCACAAATGCCACGTCAGCATAGTGAGAAGTATTAAAACATTCTTACATTCCTAAATCTATGCAGCTAATATATTTAATGGTGGTTAGGAGCGATTACTTATTTTAGACGATCAATTATTGTTCATATCTCATAATTAATCTGAGTCATATCAAACACTCCAAATTGAGAAACTGTATACGTACTTCCCGAAGTTTCCTTGAACTTGACTCTTCATGTTTTCAATCGGCCAAATGATCCACCAAGATAACGTAGCTGCAGTTCCTGAAATAATGATTATAACTTGTTAAATACTGGGTTAAACCATATAAACTAAAGCGTCATTGTACACGACTTTCACTATATGTTGGTGTGTTTGAAAAGGCGAAATTGCACGATTACCTAAGTAAATATTTTGATCCCAGTTCAATTTGTAACGGAGTTTTTTATTAACAGGAAACGATGTAACAGAGTCAATATATTTTAATGTTGCCATGGGGTGGCAAGTCCCATACACCGTAGTCTGACAGTTTCACTGCGTCCTAATATAATCTGTGTGCACTTTAGTTGACTATGATATAATGTGACAGAATTTGTTTGTTAACTGTGTGAGCCCATCATCTGATAAATTATTTAATTAACAATGATACTGACCAGAAAGTAAGAACGGTCCAAGAATGGGAGAAGAGAAGAGATGAGGGAGGTTCCGTCTGAAGGAGTCAATGAAGATGAAGTACATCCCCATCAGACCTAGAGTTCTTATCCACGTCACTGAAAACCCCTGGGAATAATAGAATGTAACATATTTATAACAATTATCATGATACTGATTGAATTTAGAGAAACACAGCAGTTATCTTTGGAGGAATATTAATTATTGAATTAAGGTGTGGTAGATGAATTGAATGAATTTGTCGATAATTTAATGAATTTTGTCGACAAAACTCTACACTAAGTGGCATTACTACAATTTCTACCATCTTAAATTTGGTGAGCAAAGCTATAACAGCTGATACCTGAGGGTTGTGCTGCACCCATTTACCCAACTACTGTAAACAAACTGTTCAGTAACTCAGGTATTAGTGTCAAACTAGTCAAAACAGCACCACGAACACCCACAACAGAACTTTTCACCATGTTTTGGTTGTTGTTATCAGTTCTCAGTTCCGTTACAGAAGGGGACGTGCATTATGTCCCTAAACTTATGATTGCAGATGGCCAGAACCCCATGGATGGCAGTGTTGTACGGATTATCATAATGAAAATGGAGGGTGCGAGTAATTTTATAATTTTCATTTTCCGTTCTCACTTCTTATTCTGAGGAGGCCGAAAAGTTTGTTGAGTATTACTTGACAGTCATAATGGCATAAGTTAACATTCAAATTTCACAAATTTTAATGTGACGATAGTATTATTTCACGTCACGTCACTTCAACTTTTACGTCACGTCACTATTATAGCCGTGACTTTTTTTTCAGAGTGCGGAGAGCCCGAAGACACTGTTTTCTGCAGCAACAGAGAATTGAGTGACGTGAGAACTACTGCTGCTGTTATTTGTAGATCTATCATGGACGCTTACTACACTACAGGTAATATCAGAGAGAAAACATGCATACGAAATTCACTGTTTGAGTGTTTTTGTTAAATAATCATGCATGTAATATCCGGATAGGAACATTATTTATGAGTCGTATTGTTATGAATTGTGTAATATGCTAACTGCTAAGCATGAGAGGGACAATGACAGTGCCACATTGCCACAGTGCCACATTGATAGTGCCACTCAAATGTACATTTTGTGGTGAAATAACCAATTCTGTTATTAGACTTTCAACAATTAAAAGCACACAATCTTGCCAGGAGATGCGGTGAGAAAAGACATGACATCGGAAGGAGAAGAGATAGTGGAGACTATAGGATACGACTTTAAATGCGAGGGTAAAGAGAACAACCTGGACCAGTGCGAGGGGGAGAGGGTGGTGTGCCATGACAGAGTTGTAGTGAAGTGCTCAGATCCTGGTCTTAGTGGTTAGTAGATAGTTTGGAGCTGTGAGTTCTTTGTAGAGACTATGTTGTGTTACATGTACATGTTGTGTTACATGTACAATGTACAGTATACATGTGATGTACACAGTATACACTGTGTACATACACAAGGAAGGAACACGTTCCATTCTACATGTTTCTATTCTATGTTTCGAGATATTTATACAATTTCTGCAGATTAACCAGAAGCGCAAAATGTATTTTACAACATGTATTTGAGTATATAATGTGTATACTTGAGTACTAAACACATAGGCTTAACCCTCTTTAAATCACGTGACAATAACAACAGGTATTTGTAAGTCATCCTGTGGGTGCATGGCTCCCTCTCTACTCTCTAAAGTTATTGGAGGACAAGATGCATCGCCCGGAGAGTTTCCTTGGCAAGTGAGTCTAACAATGAATCACAAGCTTTGCTATAATATAAGTCATAACGTGCGTTTCAAAAACTTTGCTATAATTAATATTAATTATAGCAACAATCTGTAAAATTCTTATCCGATCTGCGGCATTACTGTGATAGTATCCCAGCAGTACCGAAGTAGAACTGTAGCAAAATCTCCAATCTCTTACTTTGTATTTCACGAGAAACAAGACGCTTCCTAGACTATTACTGTATTATAGACTAGTTCTATTAATGTTACAACGCGGTGTGTGCAGCTAAATGCAATTTTGCAGGTCACATTAACGACGAAGTCGAAAAGTAAATTTTTCAATTGCGGAGGAACGATTATTGACTCAGAGCATATCTTAACAGCAGCCCACTGTTTACATTATCCAAGTTGGCCGAATGTGCCTTGTAAAGCACAAAAGAGTAGTCCGGATGATAAATGGAAACAGTGCTATTGGCTAACAGGTGATTTGTGTAATTTATATGTGCAAATAGCTGAAAATATGTGTAATTTATGTGCTGAAAATATGTCATTTATGTGTAAATTTAAATTAAATTAACATTTAAGGGATTTATATTTACATTTTCATGTTATTTCGGCTACGTCATGTTTAACTGATATGGCTCAAGAACAACGGTATCTAGTACATTTATCGAGAGATTAATATAATCGTTATGTTAAGATTGAAATGTTTGTATTTTTCACTCAATGTCAATAGTCAACCGAACTTGTCGCAAAAAACTAATAGTTTTTTTGTTGCGGAACAACCTTTTTGTGATACACTTGTATCGAAACTGTGAAAATACCGAAGTCCCTCTTCAGAAATAGAGGTTTATTATGGCTCACACGAGTTTTACACAAGAATTGACGATCCTCAAACAGCTTCTGTAGAATATATCTACATCCACAAGGTAGGAACTACTTCTCCAACCACTCAAAGTTATAACAAATCAAAGGAACAATTTTGATAATTACATTATATGGTAGGCTAACTAATTAATATTGCCCATAATACAATACTGTTATTTACTGATAGAAAACTATGCAGGACTATGTTAGAGGAAACACAGCATTGCGCCATGACATTGCTATCTTAAAACTGGATACACCGCTGGTTCTTAATCCTTACGTACATCCTGCCTGCCTACCACGGGCAGACTTCCAACTTCCACCAAACCGAAATGTAAAGTATTTCTTAACTTGTTCACACTGCTTATCTTAACTTTACAAAAAAGTATTTACATTATTTTTGTTTTTGCTGTATTATTACTTATATATTTATCAACCTAGCATATAATTAAAAGCTTGATACAGTTGTTAAACAACCAATTTGCATACTTAGCTTATTCACACTTGTGTACTACTATATGGTTCACAATGAGATTGTTAACACAGATTTATATTGAATTAAAGAGTTGCATGACGATACAGCTATAGATATTTTAGATCTAGCAGGGTTCAGAAACACGCTACAAACCAGTTTGTTAGATATCTAGTAATATTTCAGTCAGTACAGGAAGTAAAATGTGTAATGTAGGTATCTACACCAGGTGACGGTGAGCGGGTTTGGAGACACAACAAAAAGCGGTGGGGTTATCCCGAGTGTTTTACAGAAAGCGAGTTTGAATTGGCTGCCTATAGAACTGTGTGGACCTATTATGTTTGGGTTCCTCTTTAACGAACATTTGTGCGCAGGTATCTGGTATAATAGTAAAACGAAATTAGGAAAGTAAGTTTGTAGCATTAACAGTCAATTACATTAAAAAACTCCCAAATTGTGTGAAACTCTTCAAAGACCAAGATCAATGTTTTTGTTCAAGTTGAAAGACAGTAATACCAACAGTGGCCCTATGTTCAGGAGATACAACGGGTAGTGTTGACGCGTGTAGGGGTGATAGCGGGGGACCACTTGTATACAAGGACGATCAAGGTAAACTCTAAACCAGCAGTTTACTCTGAATTACTGAATACTGAATTACTGAATACTTAGTGCGTGTAATTTTTAAAAGATAATGACAGACTCTGTACTCTATGGTCTAATTATGTCCCAATAGCGTAAAAATGCCAAACAATGTGACATAACACTACTTGAGATACTAACACATTTCTTTAAGTAAATTATTAAAATCTCTAAATAACTGCAGTAAAAACAGCTATTCCTCAGGTATTTCGACGGTGATGGGAATTGTTAGTTTTAGCTACGGGTGTGCTCAGCTAAACCTGTATGGTGTGTATACTAACGTACAGTTAGAAAGAGATTTTATTGACAGTGTTCGGACACAAACACTGGATCCAAACACTATCACACTGTTTTGTAAAACGAAGAACGGCAAATGTAAGAGTGTAAAGACATAGACTGTCTAGAGCGTTCATCTTGATTACTAGATTTAGTAGTGGACTATGAGAATACGTTTTATTGGCTTTACCATTCACATTTGAAGTGGAGTAAAATTGTTGAGGAATGAGTAATAACTTCACTCCTGTTCTCTGTTAACAATTAACATTAACCACTGCAACCATTACTCTAACGTTCAGGGGCCTATGAGCATTTAAAAAATAATCTTACCTTGTATACACCACTCAGTTTATAGGTCTGTCCTGTTTGTCGTCTTATCTGAAACAACATTCATACATTTCACTAATAGTTTATGAAAGATCCGAATTTAATAGCTGCAATTCATCGGACATAAGCTATTAGCACATTTTGCAGCTTATTCAAAGTAACAATAGAATTTAATTACGAAAGAATGATTTAATTTCACACTAAAATTTGATCACTGCGCTGGAGACCAAAAGATAGATGAACTATAAACTTATAAACCGGAAATATATTAACAAACCTTGGCAAGCTCGAGAGGAGATTCGATTATTGCTCTGGCGGTGGAACCACAAGCTCCTGCTAGTATAACCCTCCTGGATATATGGTGATTAAATTATACAATGTTGTACTATTTTATACAATGTTGTATAACGTAGGATAAGATTACCGTCCACTTACTTACCTATCATTAATAATAACATCATACCATGTTGCATTATAGAACTGATATAAGTTGATGTGTCACATTATTCGTAATTGTAGAAATATTACCATCAAAAATATCTTACACTTGGAGACCGAAAGTTCCGGGTATTTCCTTCTTTAAAGTTGGGTATTTGTCACAGAAGGTATACACAGCCTCAAACGCAGAAAATTGAACAGACCTGTAGATTCCTGAACCCATCATAGGTGGAACACATCCCCTGAAATGATTAATATTTAAACTTTCTCTAGAGTTACTTTAAATAACGTTACTTTTAAATATATGACTAAGAGAAGAACAATAACTACTTTTCTTGGAACTTCTTGAATGTAACATCAAATAAGTCAAACAATAAAACGGTATCTTACCTGTAAAGTCCCAATATTCCTTGTGTTCTTAGTGTTTTCAAACAAGTCCGAAACATATTGGTATTCTCAAAGCCTTTTTGAGCTTGCATCTTCGTCTTGATGGTATCCAGAGGGTGTCCAACCATGACACTTGTAGTTCCATATAGAACACCAACTAAGAGAGGTTTTGTTGGATATTAATTAGTGCACAATGCTAAAGGGATACATATCCAAGCTTCAAATTCCAAAAATAATCTTAATCCCAACTGAGCGATATATAGATATTATTTCCCAGGGCTAATGCAATTGAAAACTCACCACTCAATGCTATAGCACCTTCCTTCAGCCAACCTGCCCGAGCTTCATTGTGAGTCATGATATCGGCCTCTTTGTTATCACACGCAGAAACAGATTCAGTCTAAATCTGGTCGGTCAAGTCATCCACCAATTCACCTAGAAAGGAATTATATCATAAGTTCAATTATGAACAATGAACAGTGACAACTACACAAAGGAAAACTATCGGAATGTTAGCTTTAAGAACTACAATAGTATAAGCTGGGAGACTTGTAACCCATGTAGCCAAGTCCCCATAAGAGTGGCAAAAAGAGATTTTGGAAAATGTTTGAAGAGGAGCTTTTCTGCTGTCCCCTTTTTGCGGTTTTGATTCAAATTTTGACCAGTGACCAATCAGTGAGGTCGATGAGAGTCAAGTTGCCATCAAGGTACTGGAAGCAGTATATCCGGAGAGAACTTTGATGCAATGAACATTTTGAATATGTCCTACCGGTAGTACATATTCGAATTTCAGTTCTCCATAACCCAAATTTCACTGTTTTGACTATCTTACAGGGTCACTCAGGATGGCACAAGACACGATTGAAGTATTCAAAGTTCCATTCCCAAATAAAGCTTTGATAAACCGAAAATCATCAAAATATAAAAAGAGATTTTAGGAGATTTTGAAGAGGAGCTTTTCTGCCGTCCCCTTGACCAAAATTTCACAGTTTTGACTGAAATTTTGACCAGTGACCAATCAGTGAGGTCTGTGAGAGTGACACAGTTCGCCATCAAGGTACTGGAAGCAGTATATCCGGAGAAAACTTGGATGCAACGCAGTGGCGTAACGAAGGGCCCCGCCGACCCCGCTGTGCGGGGGGGGGGGGGGGGGAGGGGTGGGCGCCAAATCGTCATTTGAATGTGGGACAATTTCGAAAAACTTACCTACGGTACTAGCAAAACTGTGCGTTTTTCTCTAGAAACACACTTTTTTAGAGATTTTACCGGTGTACCCTCTAAAATTATCTAATTTGTTCAATTTTAGGGAGGAGCGCCAAAAGGGGAGGGGGCACCAACAGGGGGGGGGCTTTTTCAGCGGGGGCCCCAACAGGCAACGTTACACCACTGATATAACAAACATTTTGAATATGTCCTACCAGTAGGACCTATTCGAATTTCAGCTCTTCACGACCCAAATTTCAATGTTTTGACTGAATTTTTCTTGAATGACCATCTTACAGGGTCACTCAGGATGGCACAAGACACGATTGAGGTACTCAAAGTTCTATTCTCAAAGAAAGTTTTGATAAACCGAAAATCATCAGAATATAAAAAGAGATTTTGGAAGATTTTTGAAGAGGAGCTTTTCTGCTGTCCCCTTGACCAAAATTTCGCGGTTTTGACTGAAATTTTGACCAGTGACGAATCAGTGAGGTCGGTGAGAGTGACACAAGTCGCCATCAAGGTACTAGAAGCAGTATATCTGCAGTGAACTTTGATGCAATGAACATTTAGAATACGTCCTACTTGTAGGACATATTCTAATTTCAACTCTCCGTGACCCAAATTTCACTGTTTTTACTGAATTTTTCTTGAATGAACATCTTACATATGACATAGTCACTCAGAATGGCACAAGACACGATTGAGGTACTCAAATTTTAATTTATAAAGAAAGCTTTGATTTGAAGGACTTCGACGCAAGCGCCGCGCAAACTAGCATTCTTGCTTCGCATCGAAGCAAGAATCCTGTTCGCAACGATCCTGACTAGATCGTTGCTTTACAGAGCAACAATCTGGAAGGGTTGACATCGTCAATCAAGCTTTGATAAACCGAAAACCATCTAAATATAAAAAGAGATTTAGGAAATTTTTTGAAGAGGAGTTCTAGTTAACGGGTGATACTCGTAAAATATTTGTTCCAACTAGGCGCGCGTCCTGGTAGGTTATAAACCTACAAGAAAACTTTGATACAACGAAAATTTTGAATAGGTCCTATACACTACCCAGCAGACCTTACCGGCTAGCGATATTACTACAGGGTGATCGCCTTTTCACAGCTTGTTGAAATCTGCGCGCGCTCGCTAGTTCATTGCATTTGCACGCTTCAAATATTCCAAGAATGCAATTGTACCGCGTACCACGTGATACGATTCAGCCAATCAGAGAACAACAATCTGCAAAGTTAAAGCTGCGCAGTATTATAAAATATGACTAAAATATGACTTTTCGCAATAATTCAAAATCTACAGCGTTTTGAATTTTCCTCCTGGGGAACATTTTGTTGAAAACCAGACGTTTCTATCTCTTTTACTTCCAAAGTTAGGCCCCTAACGGTAAGGTTTCCTGGGTATATAATGATAGGACATATTCGAATTTTAGCCCTCCTCACAGGAGGAGCAAAGTGCAAAGAAACTGCTACAAACTGCTACAAACTGCTACTAACTGCTACAAACTGGCACTAACTGCCACTAACTGCCACTAACTGCTACAAACTGGCACTAACTTGCAGCAGTTTGTAGCAGTTTCGAGCGTGCTAAATCACTCTACAGTCGATCTTCGAGATTGTTCTAAAAGGGCCCCCGACAGTTGAGACCAACTTCAATCGATGTATTTTCGGACGCTGATTCCGAATCACCCCCCATGACATAGGGTTAAAATACTCCCCTAGCGAGATATTGGCGAAAAACTGTCTCGATCACGTGATATGACCATATAAGGAAGTTAGTCTAATTTCTCGATAGGGTTAGGGTTTCAGCATATACTTTTGTTAGAAATTGTGTTAGGGTTAGGGTTGGGATCAGATTAGAGGGCTATTATTTCGAATAGTCATTCAGGGCCACCAAGAGAACGTGTTTAAAAAGTCACGTGACAGTCGAGTGTAGAGTGATTAATCATCATCCTAGCAGTTTGTAGCAGTCAGTGCCAGTTTGTAGCAGTTAGTGCCAGTTAGTAGCAGTTTGTAGCAGTTTGTGGCAGTTTCTCTGCACTTTGCTCCTCCTGCGAGCGTGCTAAATTAAATCACTCTACAGTCAATCTTCGAGATTGTTCTAAAAGGGCCCCCAACAGTTGAAACCTGCTTCAATCGATGTATTTTCGGACGCTGATTCCGAATCACTCCTCATGACATAGGGTTAAAATGCTCCCTTGACGAGATATTGGCGAAAAACTGTCTCGATCACGTGATATGAACGTATAAGGAAGTAAGTCTAATTTCTCGTTAGGGTTAGGGTTTCAGCATATGCTTTTGTTAAGGATTGGGTTAGGGTTAGTATATAGGGTTGGGATCAGATGAGAATTGAGAGGGTTAGGGTTTCGAATAGTCGTTCAGGACCAGCTAGAGAACGGGTTGAAAAAGTTACGTGACAGTCAAGTGTAGAGTGATTTCACATTTTTTTATTAAATACTTTTCAAATTTTACAGAGTACAGCAATAGATGAATATAAAATAGAATCGTTCAAAATATCGCCCCCATCTGTAAAATATGATGGGCACCCAAACACGGTAAACACATAGTGAACTATGTCCGCAGTAACTTGGACCCATTACATCGAATTAATCTAAATCCAAAAATTTATGAAAAACTATTTAAGAACAAACAAATCCATGGTGAATAACTGTGGATATAGAGTCAAAATTGGTATTTCAATACGTCAAATTCCAGATACATTAGATACAGGTCTGAAATGGTCATTAATGTGTGAGAAGGTGTGCGGGTGAAGTGTGATATGATGTTGAAAGTATAGGAAGGTAGATAAAAAAAAAATTAATAAAACAAAAATAATAATAATATGGGGAGCAAAGAGACTAGGCTAGACTGTTGTTTCACTATCCAATAAACATTTCCATAGATGCTTAATAAAACAAAAGTTTTTTAATAAAACAAAAGTTAAATTTATTACCAATTATTCAATCAATACATATCATAAATTCTAATATTGGAAACACAATGCAAAATGGATGTCTTAAACTATAATTTCATTGTGACTAATAATCTATTGACTTTCAAAGTTGAATTTTAGTTAAGTATGAAATGCCACCACATCATAGTTAGGGTAAAATGTTATTTTTAAAATTTTAAAATTGAGAAGATTGCTCTATGGCTTAAAATGTAAAATTCTAGCAAAAGATATCTTATTTTTAAATAGTTGGTTACAGTTTATGACAGTACTGGCATGACTAGTTTTATTGTGGCTGGTAAAAGGACCCAGTTGCCTGTAAGGGCTTTACCGAACCCCAGGGGACCACAATGTGATAAGATCAGGCCAGATGTTTCTATGTAGAGCAATTTATTTATTTTGGAGCTATGATTACGTGGTATAGCTGGTGGTCATGTTTAAAGGTCAGTTTATCCTTGTGTGCTAATTATCCATCCAGATGCTTAGTGATGTGGGTAAATCATGCCCTTCTACGATATATAATGTTTGACCATAAATTTGTTTTTACCACATAAACTGTGGCACTAATGTCAATTAACAATATTTACATTCATTGATATTTAAAGCGTGTTTTTTCCCCAGCACTACTACACAACAAAAACCTGTCGGCCCACCGAGGAAACACGGTCGCAGAACAAAGAGCCCAATTGTGCTCTTCTATTCTGTGATCGTGTGTATCTACTATAAACTAGCTAAATATACTAAGAAAATTTAATGGAATCATTACAGTCGTTTGATAAGTTCACGTGTCAAAGTAATGTTCATGGTGATCATATTTTTTGATCCCCGGTGGGCAAACACTCGTCCGAAAGGTCAAGGCAAACCTGTCGATGTTTCACCATACGAAGTAAGGCGATTTGAACATATACTCAGCTTACAACTCAACCCATGGGACGAGACGTCGTGAGCCTCAAAATTCTTCAAAATATACAGCACATACCTAGTTAGCAAACACTAAACACAACATACATACGATACCAAATAATGTATAATGCCATTACTAATTCGAAAGAAAATATATCTGCTATCTAATTTAAAAAATTGAAGAATAAACCTGAAGAAAGGGGAAGGAGAGGGGTTTGGGAGAGGCAGAGTAGGAAAACAACAGGATCCTGTGCCGCAGGATTTTAAAATTTGTTGTATGATGATTCGTTTTGTTTCGTCTCTTAGATTAATATATAGGTCTGATACCCTTGTCATGGTTCTTTGCAATAACACCGTGGTTTACTCATATGATTAAGTTTAGTTAATTAACCTATTTCAATGATAATTCATTTGCATCAAAGTTGTAACTGCACCATAGTTGTCTGTCATATTTAGATTGTAGTTCTAACAAAGCTTTCTTAAGATTATTCTTGAATATACTGATAGGAGTGGAGAAGTCTATTTCACTCGTTGACTTACGGCAGTGATTCCAAATACTGGTTGATTGGTAGATGAATAGTGAGGACGGAGTGGGTGGGATGAAGTAGTTGTCTCGTCTTGGTGACCTGTTGAATAAAGAGAACATTGAGACTGGTGATTGGAACTTATTAATTTTAAACATTTCCAGTAAACAGTGCAACTTATGAAGATTGTGGACAGTCAGGAAGTTATACTCGTTACAGATTGGTTTACTGTGTTCTAGTTCAAAGAAATCTTTGCCTAACATCTGCTTGATAACTTTACCGGTCTTATCCCTAGTGATAGGCCTTACTCTGGCACATGTTTTGAACTTATTGAAGTACGCATCATTATCACCAAAGAGAATTCTTATGCATTTCTTTTGTGTTTTAAATATGGCTTCTAGTTTATTATTTGATACACCTCCCCAAACAGATATTCCATAACATAGGTGTGATTCAAAAAGGGTGTGGTACAGGTCCTTATAGAGTGTTTTAGGTACACAGCGTCTGATTCCACATAGTCTACCAATCTCACATTTCAATTTACGATTTAACGCTCTCAAGTGAGCATCCCAGTTCAGTTTTTGGTCAATAATGACTCCAAGAAACTTAGTTTCCTCTACCTTTTTAATTATTATATTATTCAGTGTCAGTTCTAATTCATTAGTGTTTGAATCTGGTTCATTTCTACAGTTCGGCTTAAAGTGGATATAACAACATTTCTTTGTGTTGATATGCAGCAAGTTACTCTTCATATATTGATGAACAAGTTTAAGAATTTTGTTAGCTTTGCAGTAAAGTGTTTTTATACATTTATCTACAACAAATATGTTGGTGTCATCGGCAAAAAGTATAAACTTACCTAGGTCTGATACTCTATATATTTCATTGATGTAGATAATGAAAAGCAAGGGACCTAATACTGACCCCTGAGGCACACCAAATATTACAGACAGTTTTTCGGATTCTTCTCCAAGTACTGAAACATATTGCTGCCTATTAGAGAGGTAACTGGCTATTAATTTATTTGCAGTCCCTCGAATTCCATAATCATTCAGTTTTTTAAGCAGTTTATCATGACAGATTGTATCAAAAGCTTTACTTAAATCAATGAAGATGCCTAGTACATGATTTTTATCTCTTAGTGATTTTTCAATGTAGTCGACAGAGAAGTTAAGTGCATGGCTTGTCGAATGATTTTTTCTGAAGCCATATTGATTTTCATATAATAATCCTTGCGACTGGAAGAAACTGTAAAGCCTGGAGAATATAATTTTCTCAAGTATTTTACCAAATATCGCTAAGGTTGAGATAGGCCTGTAATTTTCAAGAAGCTCAGCATTTTCTTTCTTATATATTGGACTTATTTTACCTACTTTTAGGTCGTCTGGAAAAACTCCCTGTTGCATACATTCGTTATACAATACCGATAGTAGTGGACTAATTTTGCCTGATACTGCCTTTACTATATGTACTGGTATATCACTAGCCTTGCCATTCTTTAGTTCCGATATGATCTTAGCCACCTCTTCAGGTGAGCAGTCATGTAGATATATATTAGCTGTATTCGATTTAGGTAAGAGGTCACAGAAACTTGGAAGCTGATTAATTTGTATTTCTCCTAGTTCTGTGTAGGCTGCATTAAGGTTAGATGCTAGGGATACAAAATACTTATTGAATTCATTCGCTATAACTCTGCGATTAGTTATCTTTTCATTGTCTATGGTAAATATAGGTCTGATCTCACGTTTCTGTTTGCCACGAAT